CTACAATGAGATACCACTTAACCCCAATCAGATTGGCTAAGATTAAAAAAATAAAGAATGATAAGTGCCAATGAAGCTGTGGTGAAAAGGGAGCTCTCCTACAGTGTGGGTAGAAATGTAAATTGGTCCAGCCACAATGGAGAACAATATGGAGGGCCCTCAAAGACCTACACATGGAACTACCATATGACCCATCAATTCCACTCCTAGGTATTTACCCAAAGGATAGGAAAAGGCTCAGTCAGAAAAAAAACACTTGCACACCCATGTTTATTGCAGCATTATTCACAATTGCTAAGATATAGAATCAACCCGAATGTCCATAAGCTGATGAAAGGACTGAAAAAATGTTGCATATATATAGTACAGACTACTACTTAGCCATAAAAACAATAAAATAAGACCCTGGCAATTGATATAAAGTGGGCAAATATGGAAGATTTACTGCTAAGTGAAGCAACCCAGACTATAAAAGAGAGGCATTGAATGTAAGCACTCTATGGCTCTGTTTATTTTTTTATATTTCAATTTACTTTATACATTCAATCGTGTTATTTAGCTTGCAAAGTGAATATTCTAACATGTGTACATTTCTCACCAGTTCAATTGGCAATACTATAAAATTATCTTCAACAGATAATAATAACCCATTTCTTTGTCCCATAAATACTTTGCCTCTTTATTTTTCTCCTTAATGTACTTCCTCAGACCCTACTCCTTCGCCCACCCTCTTCCCACACTGTATCTGGTATTCACCTTTTGACAGATAGTGCATGAATATGGAAGATTTACTGATGAGTGAAGCAAGACAGGCTATGAAGGCTCTATTTATTTTGAAGGAGGGTGTCTAGTTAAACATTAATATAAGTGCCAAAGAGAATGAGTCTTGCCAGTAGAAAGGCCCTAGCTTGTGAATCTGGAAGAGCAGATGGTGGGGAGGCAGGATGTTGCTTTCAGTAAGGAGGTTGGTAAAGAGAGCCTTGGTTACAGTTGGTGAACCAGCAAATGTGACCTAGAGAGACAGTGACAAAGCCTATTGACATTCATAATCTGTGCACCATAGGAGGTGTGATATAAAAACATAGCTTCCTTTTCTCTTTGAAATACACTAGGGGGCAGACCTACAGCCTAATGGTAAAGGAAACTGGAGCCCACACGACTGACCAACATTTGAATCTGGCTCTGGCAGCTTCAAACACACATGAGGTAAGGATGTATGTGTGCCTAGAATCCAAACAGGATGAAAAAAATGGAGAAGCCAGGATTGTGATGTGCCCATACCCATTGCTTTCTCTCTCTCCTTCTATCTCTCTGGAGAGAGCACATGCCCTCTGAAAATTAAATATACATATATATGTTTTTGCCACAAGACCCATGCACTTGCAGGAGAGAGACAGAGAGAGGGAAAGTAAGAAATCATGCACAAGGGGGGGATGGCAACATCCGTTCTTCTCTCAGGATTTTTGGGCAACATGCTCACATGCCTGGAATGATTTTCAAGCTGTTAGATCAGACTTAAATTGTGATTGGCCATATGGGAATCTAACATCTTACCCACCAGGTCACCTGCTTGGCCCTATAGGGTAAATTCTTATAGTTTACTAAGTTTTGTGTGAGTTACTTTGAATAAACTGGAAGAGGTACTGGACTTTACTTTGAAATACAAACAAAAATAGAAGATAAGTGGAAACAGACAGGCACCATCATAAGATAATGACTTATATTAGTATATTGATGAGCTGCTTCCAACCACCATGTTTAACTCAGACCCAGTCATTCATGATCACCAGCCAGAGGGGGAAGTAGAAGGTGATATACATGGCTTCTAACTACTCTGCTATACATTAGTATGCATCTGGGAGTAAGCAGCCAATGAATGAGGAGTTGGGCTCTACCTTAGCTGGACTCTGGGTTGAAAGGCACGAACATAATATGAAGCAAAACAACATCTCTAAATGCAACATAGTTATTTCATAGAACACAACCAGAGGTCTCTTCTATACTGGAAGAAACAGACAGTGTTAGACTTATAAGAAACAGTCTGTGTGACTTTTGACTTTTACTTTGATCTAAGAATATTTTCACATTAGGTTCAATATATTTCTAAGGGATAGCAAAGATCAGTAATACCTGTACAATCACCTCTGGTTATTGAAAGCTCTGCCAGTCCCTGGTTGACAGTAAAAGGGTTAGAAAGCTGAGAGAATAGAGGTGATGCCAAGGGAGCCCCCTCCACCATGAGCAGTCAGGGAATTTGGGGAAGCTAGGAAAAAGGTAAAGAAAACTTTCTGCTTGATGCCTAAAAGGGAATGTACAAAGCTGAACATGTTCATGTTTAAATGCAAGAATTGTGTTCCTTATAATATTTGGGGAGGTTTGCTTCTGCTGAACTGGAATATTAGAAATGTTATAACCATTCTACTCTTCAGGAAAATAATTAGATTTCTTCTTGTGATCAGCTCACATAGCTTTTGCTTCTAAATTATATTTGACTGTTGAATAGTTGAGGTGAGTGGCTTCTGATACAGAGGGAGATAAAGGATTGGACAGGCAGACTCCTGCATGAGCCAGAGCTGTAAAAGGTATATAATTATCACTGACCTATGGTGGTAACAGAAGGCCACGTGTCAGTCTCTGCACCACTCCTTACAGAATAACCAGGACATGCAAAGGGTGCATCTTCCATTTCCCACAGAGTGGATAATATCCATGTGCATCCATTAAACAGCTCTAAACAACAGCTATGGAAAGGTGCCCTTGGGTGCTGATTCATTGTTGATAAATCAGTACCGAAGAGCTATTTAAGTGATTAATTAATATTATGAAGAACCATCCACTATTTGGGGTGCCCAAATGTCCTAACTCATGCTCTCTCTTCCCTCTTACTTTTCAAATGTACCCTTCTACTCTCAAGAAACATGGAAAACAGAAACCAACAAACATATAAGTTAATCAGCATACTTCATTAAAAACAAGCCATTATAGTTCCACTTCTTCACAAGTTAAAGAAGATGGCAATGTCATCCTTATTAATACTCCACATTATTAACTAGGATGACATAGAGAGGCAGGGAGCAGAGAGCAGAGGTGGTGATAATTGCATATCTGGGTCACATATATATTTTTTGCAACCTGACATAGCTACACTTACTTTTCACTGAGGTCTTCAGTAGCCTTTCATAACAGAAGCCTCTCTATTGACAAGGGTTAGACATCCTATAACCATGGAAGTCTAAAGTCCCTGTACAATCTTAATCTGTAATAACTTAAGAAAGAATGAAGTTATAAGTGATGTGTGAAAGCACTATTCAGAAAATTGTCATACAATAGAGTTCAAATAATTTCTAAGCTTCAATATAACTGCTATCTTTGAAGAAGCAATGTTCAATTTAACTTTTCATAGATATATTGAAAGCTTTCCCCATTGCTGTTGAGTGATTTATAAATTGCATTCATGATCTCAGTCTTTTCTTCCAAAGGATTCAGTTTTGAATATGAAAAAAGAAGACATCTGCTTTTGCATAAACTCACATGTAGAAACAAATCAAGAAAAGGAGGTATACTGGACCTTTATAAAAGCATGAAGGTTGTTAGAATCAATAATCTTAAGTACAAGGAAAACAGAGTCTATAAATATTTCTAAGACTGCTCTATGATAATATAGTTTTAAACATAATTATTTAAAAGCATGCCTTCTGAGAATAACTTTTGAAGACAGGATTGACACTGGGTCATTTAAGATATTTTATCTGATTATGTGAATGATTTTCTAATAGTTCTCAAAAATGCAAGAAGTTGTTCTAAAGGCAGAGAATGGCAGTCATGAATTTTTTCATAAGGAAAAATGCACTTATACTGGTCAATTTCTTTATGTGTCCTTCCAACTTGGGCTTTTGAATCTACTTTTACAAAGTAATACACAATTTATTTAGACAAAGAAGTGGTTAGTAGCAGGTTGTTCAAACTTGCCACTCTACGATAAAGTTTGCTTTTGTTTGTTTTATGCATGATAGAAAGCGTATACTCATATATAAGTGTGAGAGAAAGAAATGACCCGTCACAGGTCTGGTCATGATGTGATCCCCAGCCTCCAGTCCTCCAGCCCATTGGGTCCTGGGATATCACACATGAGCTTGGTATGCCTCAGGCTGACTAGGCTCGTGACTTGAACTGTGGTCCCTACATGGGATGCAGCTTCTCTTAAGCAGAAAGCACATTACTTCTATGCCAAAGATTGGGCCTTAGGTTTGCTTTTTTTTTTTAAATACTGGATAATTATTTATCTTTTATCAAAAGAAATTCCATAAGAAAATATAACTACTTCTAATTCAATATCATCAGTCAATCACCACTTAAACAGGATTAGACACATTTTTGCCTCCCACTGGCTTGTCTAATATCATTCTCACACTCTACTACTCTTTACATCTTCTTCTTGCTGAAATCTGAAGAGTCTGTATAGCAGCAATGTTTGAGGGTATGGCTATTGAAATGTGCAATTATTATAAATGATTTACAAATTAAATGACATTGGTTTCTTTTTTTTTATTAAAGAAGTGGGTTTTTTTGTGTTTTATTGTGGTTTGTTTTGTTTTGTTTTGTTTGCTATAGAGTCAAGTATTTTTTTATTAGTAATACAGTAAACTAGTACAGATGATAATCTCTTTCCTATTTCAATCTGCTTAATCATTTAAATCCAAAGACTTGTTCTGGGCTTCCAAAAGTCTATGTATCATCTATGTGGTATTGTTTTCCAAGTCCATGTAATGACTATGCACAACAAATGTGAAATATAGCAGAAAAATATATTTAATTTTTCAAATCTTTGAGCAATCTCAAATATTTTAAATAAACTGCACATTTCAAAATAAGTGTAAAAGAATACAAGTGCCTCAGTTTCTTAAGTACTATAAAATGCAAACTAAGATATTTTCAGTGCTGTATAGAATAGTGGGACATACAGTGTTTGGAGAAGAGCAAAATAATCAAGTGACAGTTACCTTGATAAACGAAGTGAAAGCCCCTAGCAGATGCACCACTCTTTGCACTGAATCGGAGCAGAATTTGATTTGATGTAGCCAAAGGCAATGTTTCACCTAGAAATGAAAACAGAGATAATATAAAGGCCCCAGAAAATGCAGAGTACTGTGGTGAATTAGAATATTGGGGCAATGAGCCATGATGCGAACATTAAGGTGGCTGGATCCCATGTGGCCAATAATGAAGTCTGAGTTCCTGACCCAGTACCTTGAAAAATACACCAGGATCATGTACATGTGTGACCAAAATCCTGAAGGGAGGAAGAAATGGGAAAGGAAGTACTACAGTGTGACCATCCCCCGGGGAAGGGGGGGATTCCCATTCTCTTTCTCTCTCTTGTCTTGCTCTTACTCTCTCTCTCTCTCTAGCTAGTAGAGTTGCTCTCTGGCAAACTAAAATGAAAAGTATTTTGGAAAATAACTATTAAGTTGAATATCACACTTAATTTTGGAACTTTTTCTTTTTTTTTTTCTTCAATTTGTCAGAGGTCACACATGTCTATTGGAGGGAAACAGAGAGAAAGAGAGTAAGCACTTCCTATAGGAAATGGTCACACCGTAGTCCTTTTTGCTGTACTTCTTCCTTTAAGTCAGTATTTTGGGCATGCATGCACATGTGCCCAGCGTGTTTCTAAGCCTCAGGTCTGGAACCTGAACTACACAGATGACCATGGGATGTCTAGGTCAATAACAGCCAGGGCAAGGACTGGCCCTAATTTTAGGATTTCAGAAACATAAATTAGTTTTTTTAATTTTGTTTCATTAAAAAAAAAAACTATTTTGTTTTAAAATCTTTGCTACATGTTGTTACTCTTGCCAGTGTAACTCTTAGCATACAGACCAGTAATACCGAAATGGCCAACAACAAATGATATAAAATAAAACCCTGAAGGAAAAGCAGAAACAAAACACCCAGAGCTTCTTCTCCATATCCAACCCTCCCCCCAAACCCTGTAATAATTGTACAATTATCATCGATGACATTTAAAAACAGTGGATTTTTTTTTTTTAGAGAGAGAGATTTTTGCTATATGGTGCATGTTCTCACCAGAGACAGAGAAAGACAGAGAGACAGAAAGTGAAAAATTATCCCCTAGAAGGCATGGCCACACTGCAATCCCTTCTCCTTCATTCTCCTCCCAGGATCCTGGGCACACATGCACACGTACCCAACATGAGGTTTAAGGCACCAGGTCCAGGACTCAAAATATGGTCAATTATGTGGGAGTACAGTGACGTAGCCATTACACCATCTGCTAGTCCCCAAAACAGCGGGTTATTAAAAAACAAGAATTTTGTTGGAAATTCAATGTTTTAGTGTTGAAAATTGTGATAAAAATATAAATGTATACTGTATATGAGCACATAAAATAAAAAATAAATGGTCTCTTTTCTATTCCATGACCTGACACAAAACTAGAGACAAAAGGGAGGGACAACTGGTAAACGACAGTGCCTCAGCTCCCCAAGGTTACGTGTGTTCTTCAGTCCCCTCAGGCCACATTTAATGTATCTTTTCCTTATAACTCAGTCTTACATATTCATACTGGTATAGGACAGTGCCTCAGCTCCCCAAGGCTATGTGTGCTTTTCAGTCCTCTCGGGCCACATTTAATGTATCTTTTCCTTATAATTCAGGCTAAAGTAGGCTTTTTAAAATGGTAAAAGGGAGACTAGCAGATGGTGTAATGGTTATGTCACTGGTCTCGCACAGGATTGACCATGGTTCAAGTCCCGGAATTGGTGACTTCAAACTCATGCCAGGCATGTGTGCGTGTTTGCGTGCGTGCGTGTGTGCGTGAGTGCTCAAAATCCCGAGAGGAGAATGTAGGAGAAGGGGTTGCACTATAGCCATCCCCCCAGGGACTGATTTCTTACTGTCTGCCCATCCCCCCAGGGAGTGATTTCTTACTGTCTGTCTTCTGTCTCTCTCTCTCTCTCCAGTAAACGCACATGTTCTATAGCAAAAATATCTCTCTAAAAAAAAAAATGTATAGAGGCTGATATACAGGACTGTTACCTGAGGAAGGGAAAAGGTGAGTAGTTACATGTATTCATAATTATACGTCCACAGTTCATTACAAAGTGACATGCTTTATAGTGTAAGTATAATAACTCCAAGTGATGAATGGGGTTTGGACTGCTATCCAAACAGGGTCACTTTGTAAAAAATAAAAAATTTTATTGACCCGCTGGTGGCATGGTGGTTAAGACTGCTAGATCCCACATGACTGACCACGTGGTCAGAGTTCCAGACCTGGCTCTTTAAAGACATGGTAGAGCTTGTGCATGCCTGCCTGAAATCTGAGAAGGAGAAATGGAGAAGGGACTGCAGGGTGACCTTCCTGATGCAGGGGAGGTACTTTCTCAGTTTCTCTCTCTCTCTTTCTCTCTCTCTCTCTCTCTGTCTCTCTGGCAAGCATAAATGCCCTCTAACAGAAAACAAACGAACAAACAAACCAAATTAACCAAGAAAAGCAAAAAAACTTCACTTTGGATTTAAAAACCTAAACATATAAGTTGTTTCTATAAATTTTAAAACTTCATTCTTGCCTGTGCATTCTATCCACCCACTATTGTAATCATGACTTTCTTTATGCTTTCTTTAACAGAAAGCACAAAACTGGTCTATTCACTGATTATATAAGAGATACGAGAATTGAGTGCACCATTTAATCAGAAACAAGATAATTTTATAATTACTGTCCATAATTAAGAAAATGCCTGAGTCCATCACTGACCAGAAAGAAGAAGTACATAAAAATAATTGGAAAAAGGCTTCTGAAATATGTATATATATGTACACATATATATGCATTTATATGTACATAGTTGAGAATATTATATATGAATGTATGCATATATGTGTATATATGTATGTATATATAAATATATGTATATAAAAATATACATAAATAAATTTTAGAATTTTGCCATAGGGTGCATGCACTCACCAGAGAAAGGTAGAGAGACAGAGAAAGTGACAAATTTCCCCCATTGGAGGGGATGGCAATGTTTCAATCCCTTCTTCTTCATTCACCTCTCATGATTTTGGGCACATGCATATACACATGTCCAACATATTTTTCTTTCTATTTTTTAAAGAATTATTTATTTAATCTTACTTATTATTTTTTTAATTTGACCAGAGAGAGAGAGGGAAAGTGACAAAGCAAGATGCCAGGTCTGGATCTCAAACTGTTGTTGGCCATGGGGGAGTCTAGAATCTTCACCAGCACGCCCCCTGCTGGCCCCATTTTTTCAAGCTGCTGAGGACAGGACCGGAACCATGTAGTTGCCCGTGAGGGGGTCAACACCTTAATCACCATACCCTCGGCTGATTCCCTGGAACATACTTTTAACTTTTTAAAGTACACATACAATGTGAGGAAGAATGCGTCTCAAGTCCTGCTGAGGGGCTTGTGTATTGAAACAAGGTTTTCAGAAGAGAACTCGCTGCTAGGTATCAACATTTTAGCTACCTGACTTCTAATGCATTCCTTGGCATTGCATCATCAGACATTGGTAGAAAAATAGCAAAACCCAGGTGTTAAGTCCTTCAGTCGATAATGAAATAGTGGGTCCTGCTGTGGTAGCTCACGCTGTTCAGATGCCATGTTCCATAGGCGGGCATCACAGGGGAGGCTTGGGTTTCATTCTGGAGCCAACCTAAAGCCCAGGCAGTCCACGACTGTAATCCCAGCACCTTGGGGAGGCTGAGGCAGGAGACCACATGCTCATGGCCAACCTGAGCAATGTAGCAAGGGCGTGTTTTAGAAACTGAGTCAGGCATGGTGGTGTGTACCTGTGGTCCCTGCTGAGAGGCTGAAATAGGAGGATCATGCCAGTAGGAGCTTATCTTTTAAAAAAGAAAAAAACAAAAAAAAGAAGAAAACAAAGCACAGGGGCCAGGTGTCATGATGGTTAAAGCACTGGATTCCCTCATGGCCAAGCCTGCAATTTGAGTCCTGAACCTGGTAGCTTGAAAAACATACCAAGCACGTGTATGTGCATGCCAAAAATCCTGAGAGGAGAATGGAGAAGGAGGCAATTTCTCACCATCTCTTTGTCTGTCTCTCTGTCTCTCTCCAGTGAGTTCACATGCTCTATGGCAAAAATCTAAAAAAAAAGAAAAAGAAACACAAAATATGATGTCATAAAATAAATAAACAAATTTAAAAATATTGAAATAGTGAACAACCAGAAATAAGCAAATCTTAACCATTAGCCAAAGCCAACAATGGATGCAGATGACTTTTCTGTCCTTCAGTAAATGACGAAGAAGTAGCAACAGTACGAGTAAGAGCTAGGTCATTGAGGAAGGTGGGGTTAGAACAGAGTACTACTCAGAGCTCAAAGTAATATACTGGGCATATTATTGTATAAATATATATGCATAAATTTGCATTTATATTTGTGTATTTATATAAATACACTTATATTTCTTATTTATATATTTTGATGAGGACAGATCTCTGTATGAGATTTTAAGTAAAAGAATGGGATAGGAAGAAATTTGTGAAATTATTATATAGAACATGTTTTATAAAGTCCCATATATGAACACCTGTATGCATAGGTGCATGTACCCATGCACTCTATGTGTCTCTATATATCCACATGTACATTAATGTGTGGATGTAATGTATCTCCATATGTATTTACTTTTAGGTTTAAAATGATTTAGGGAACCAGCAGTTATCGTAATGGCTATGTTGCTGGACTCCCACGTAGTTGACCACAGTTCGTGTCCCGGACCCGGTGGCTTAAACTCACGCCGAGCGTGTGTGCATGCGTGCCTAAGATCCCGAGAGGAGAATGGAGGAGAAGGGATTGCGGCGTGACCATCCTTCCTGGGGGGTGATTTCTCGCTTTCTGTCTCTATGTCTCTCTCTGCCTGTCTGGCGAGCGCACGCACCCTATAGCGAAAACCTTTCCCTCCCCCCCAAAAAAATGATTTAGAACAAAATATTATGTTTTAACCTCCAAGAGGAAGATGAAAACAGCATAGAAATCAAATATGCTAGCTTAATATTTCTTTTCTGATAGGTGTCTCTTTTCTTGAGATGAATACTGTATTTTCCACCATCTTGTAAGTAAAATGTCAAAGACAGTTGGTTTTACATATGGGTAAAATAGTTTTGAAACATTAGATCAAAATAAATTTTACTAAGCACATGAATTTCAAGACGATGACATTTCTTAGTTAAAAAAGGAGAAGCCAAGGAAGGAAGAAATGAAGGGGAGAAAGAGGGTGGAGCTTAAAATTAATTGTTGCAACTGCCTAAGGGGAAATAAAGACAAAATCATCGGAAAGGGTACCTGAATGAGACCCGGAGAGCGAGCTGAGAAGTCTGGCCTGCGGATGGGTGCCATCAAATAACTCTGCCAAGTCATTGAGTGCCGTCTGGAAATAGGCAAACTGCCCAAACACCACTGCGAGGTAAGGGGAGTAGGTCAGCACTTTTTTTTTTTTTTTTTTTTTTTTTTTTTTAGTAAAATGATGATTCTGTACTACATATTTATTGATTTCCCTGATTCATATAAAAAATCAACTTACTGTTTTGTTTCTAAGTTTTCAGCTAATACATTTATTTTGGTTCCTAATATCTTGGTACTTAACCAAAAAATATAGTTTTCTGCATCATTTGAAGATTAAATAAGGAATCTTTTTTAAAAACAAATTCATTAGAATAACAAAAGACTATCTATAAATGCATCCTGTTTATTTTTGACCGATTAGTGATATTTTACTGAATGAAAAATTCACATAAATTCAAACGCTATGATAATTTGGTGGGGAATTTAGATTTTTTTTAATGCTAAATTCATATTAATGCATTGCTGAAATTCTTTCTTTTCCTTTTTTTCTCTTTAATTTTGAGATAGCATCTTGCTAGTTTGTCCATCTGGCCCAGAACTCATGATCTTCCTGTCTCAAATCATGAGAATATGAGACTTTAGGCACATGCCACCAGGCCTGGATCACATTACTGAATTTATAACTCATTCATTCACTTAGCTGAGCAACGTATCATAGGAAAAGCCTAATGTTTTTCTATTCTACAATTTTATTTATCTTATAGGTTATGTCAACTGCATAAACAAACTTCCTCAGTGAAACATAACCATGTCTTTTATGAATTCAAATTTAATTAATGTTTGTGTATTCAGATGGATGATACAGAAGTCCTTTACAATATTTAGAAAAATCTGTAAGTTAGTATCTACTTACAAGCATTGAGCACCTAATCCTTTCCTTAGTCATGCCTAAGCTTACACTAAAATTACTTTAAATCATTCTGAATAAGAAATGCAGGTGTGTATATTAGATTTGTGTTCCAGAGTTCTAAAGGAAAGAATGTTAGTGTTAACGAATACATTGGAAGCAATGCAATGTAACAATTATAGTACAATGTAATATAGTAGCATTATATATGTATATGTATATATATATATATATATTATATATATATATATGTGTGTGTGTGTGTGTATTTATGTAATAGAATAAATACATTTAAAATTTTATATTTCCTACAGAGTAAATCAATTTAAAAAGGTGCTATGACTGCAATTTGTTCTTTACACAATGTGTTAAGACTTGGTTCTTATTGTGACAATATTAAGAGAGTAGAAATTGAATCTGATTAGTGCCTTAAGAAGTGGAACCTTGATAAATGAATAGGATTAACTAATGCACTCAGGGTAGAGCATTCATGATTATATCTCGGTAGCTTTATGACAAAAAGAGAATGATCAAGGCAGACAGACACACAGACATGGAAAAAGACATATGTTTTCTTGCTCTGTCTCACAAATGATGCCCTGGGCCACCCTGAGATTCGGCAGAATCCCTGCCAGCAAGAAAACTCACTAGGTGTGGCCCTTGACTTCAGACCTCTCAAACCGTGAGCTAAATAAACCTGTATTTATTTAATAAACCACCCACTCCAGTATTTTTTATTAGCAACAGAGAATAGATTAACTTTAATAAAATCCATCTTCTTTTATATTATTTTATTGTATTAAGAACTGGAATATTTGTTTATCAAATGACAGAAAAATTCACATTGAGAGGGATATGACAGTGAATTATAAATAAGATGAAATCTTACCAAATTCCTTTGGCACAGTTATCGAATAGAGACATATCTGGCCAGCTGTGTAATTATGAGGGTAGTTTGGAGATAAAACTACCCCTTCCGATCCCGTGTACTGGCCTCCACAGGGAGCTAAAAATAAAATCAGTGAAGAATTACATGCTCTGTAATAGCAACATTGCAAGAGAAAGGTGAGCCAAAGCTGAAAAATATCAAATAAATACACAGTATTTCATATGTATTTAAAATCTTAATGAAATGATTAAAGTTAAAACCTTGTTTTACATTGCTATCAAAGTAATAAAAATGAAAACAAAGGTCTACTAGGTTAGAATAAAGTAATTCAACTCAGATGAAAAATCTGAATTTATTTTCAAAGAAAGTCTCAGGCATCTTGAAATAATAATGAAAACAGCTCTAATAATAAAAACAGAACAGACCTGATTAAGTCAAATTAAATAACCTTATGAGTTTCACCAGAATTATCTAGTTGATATCAGTCATCACATTAGCGTAAGAAGTATAAAGATTATTTTAATTTTCTACACTAACCTATTGTTTCTGTTTAAGTATGAGACTAAAAATGTTCTGCTTTTTAGGGATTCTTTTTTCCTTGCTCATTTTGTCTCATCGCTTCATTGAAAGAGTAACATGTAAAATTATTAATGCTTCTGAGCTATCTTCCTGTGGGTTTAATTTAAAGTGGAGGGAACCTATTGCTAGAAAGTTAGGGCAGATAAAATACAGCTAGGGGTGTGTGTATGTGTGTGTGTGTGTGTGTGTGTCTTGATTTTTACCCCAGTTATTTTATTCATTTCTGCATTGTTTTTGTTGATAAAATAGAAAAATGTTGTAGTATATGTCTGAAACACTTTTGTAAAAATTGCCAGAGTTCCTAAGGCATGAGAGAGAGAGACAGAGAGAGCACCCTCCAATAGGGACTGGTTATGCCTCAATTCTTTTGTCCTCTCTTTCTCCATCTCATTAGGAGCCTGGGCATGCAAAATCATCCCTGAAGTGTTTCTTAAAAAAAAAACAAAACAAACAAAAAAAAAACCTCATTATTTACATTTAATCACTATACATCCTTACAGTGCACAACATGGTTTTCCCCAGCACAGACACAGTGTCTATCAGTCAAGACAAAGACAATGTCATATACATTATCATCAGCAAATAACTGTTCATTTCTGTGTCAATTCAATGTATTTTTTTTTCATTGTTCCCCTTTCCTGGAGTGTGTCTTAAGCTGCCAAGGCAGGATTCCAACCGCTGTATCCCTGTGTGATCTGGGTCCCTCTGTGCAGTGTTTAGCTACTGGTCTACTGGTCTATCATTGTAAAACAGTCATCCAATTAAACCTTAGAAGCTTGATATACAATTTTGGAATTATGTCACCAATACTGCAATTTCTCATATTTTTACCTAAAAAAGGGTCCGAGTCCTCTCATCTATGGAGCTATAGAGCAGTGACTAGCACAGAAGTAATTCAACTACTGGGCTATTGGGCCTTTCTTTATGCTGTACAAGGCTTGACCACATTGCTTCTTATCTTTTTTTTTTTTTTTTTCTTTTGAGAGGTTTTTCCTACAGGACATGTGTTCTTGCCAGAAAGACAGAGACAGACAGAGACACAGAAAGCAAGAAATCACCCACTAGGGGGATGGCCACACAGCAATTCTTTCTCTTCCATTCTCCTCTTGGGATCTTGGGCACGAACACACACACATATCCAGCGTGAGTTCAAACCACTGGGTCTGGGACTCAAACTGCAGTTGACTACGTGGGAGTCCAGCGACATAGCCACAGAGCCAACTGTTGGCCCCTCACACTGCTTCTTATCTTAAATATACCTTCACTGATTTGGTTTCCAATTATGTTCAGTATTTGAGAAAGTTTATATTTCTACACTCATTATTTCATGATATGGCAATTTTCAAGCACTGAAAAATATCGAAATTTGAGATAATATTTAATCCTTGGAATGTTAATTAGCACACAGTTAAATTCTAATTGATAACCAGAACATTCTCCATGATTAATAGAATTCTCTTGGAATTGAATAAAGCTAATGTTAAGACACCTCATTAATGATTTTTCAAGAGAGTTAATGGTTTGTCAAGAACTTTTCCAAACCCAGGCATTACAGTGGCTGGCAAAACTACAGTCATACTTTTAATGCACAAGAAAAATAGTTGAAAATCTGTTTTAATCTATTTGTGATCAACTAGGAGATATTTTACTTAACCAAACTAGATAAGGTTTTCATGCTAACATCTTTTGTGTTTTGTTTTGTTTTGTTTTGTTTTGTTAGAGGCCATGTGCACTCACAAACAGAGGAAGAGAGAGAGAGTGAGAAAGCACCCTTTATGGGAGATGGCCATGTCACAGTGCTTTCTCCTTCTTCTCTCCCTCCTTTTGGGATTTTGGGCACCCATGCTCATGCGCTCAACATGTTTTCCAGGCTGCTAGATCTGGGAGTTGAATTGTACCGTTCATCACATGGGATCCAGCCACTTTAACTACTGTGCCACTGCTAGACCCAACTTTAAGCCATTTTAAATAGTAAAAGAGATATATTTTCACTTTCAGATGGAGTATACTTCTGTAAATCAAACTCTGAAGCCAAAGGTTTCCGATAGAATGCTGGGTGACTCACTCAACCAAGGGAGATAGACCAATCAACATTTTTTCCATCTCAACAACAGAAATTGAACCCAGATAATTTTAAAAGGATCTGTTCTTTCTCCTCTAAAGCTTAAAGTTCAAGGTTTTTTTCTGTTTATGTTTTTGTTTTCTTAAAGTATAGGGATGGAAATTCATTTTATTTTAGACTACCCACATAAAATGGAGGCAAGTTATTTTGCAAGTATTCCTTTTGCACATACAAATTTCATCTACTTCACATTTCAAACAAGAATTATAAATGAAAATTGGAAATAAATCACCACCAAGTGAAGATTTTGATGCTCAAATGATTAGAGGTGGCAAACATTGTTATCAAGGACAACTTCTGATATATATATATTTTTTTGTTTTTGGAGAGGTTTTTTTCGCTATAGGGCGCGTGCACTCGCCAGAGAGACAGAGAGACAGAAAGCGAGAAATCACCCCCCAGGGGGGATGGTCACACCGCATTCCCTTCTCCTCCATTCTCCTCTCGGGATCTTGGGCACGCATGCACATGCACCCGGCGTGAGTTTTAAGCCACCGGGTCTGGGACAGGACCGCAGTCGACTACGTGGGAGTCCAGCGACACAGCCATTACGCTAACTGCTGGTTCCCTACTTCTGATATAATTTTTTAAATGTAACTGCAAATAAGTATTTGAGCTCAAGGATAGAATAAAAAAGTTACCTTATGATAATAGAGAACATATAACAACAAAAAAATTAAAAAATAAAAGAAAACTAAGCAGGTATATTAGGTCCTTTACTTCTGTGATAAATTGTGTTTTAACGTTTTTCTCAGACTTGAAAGATACTTTAGAAACAACCATATTTGTGAAATTGAAAAAAAAAATAGAGAGAGAATTTTTGTTTAATACATAATTATTATGTCTGTGTTACTGTGCTAAGAACTAGGCATGGCCCTTCTCATGTTAGAAATCATATTAATGTGATAGCAAAAAAATATGCTTACAATTTGTTAATTAACATAGTGAGCGATTATTTCCTAAATGTATAAAGGCATGTAACAGCATTCATTGCAGATGGTAACAAGAGACTTCCTCATGCATTTGGTTAACTGGAATATATCTAAAATGTAAAGGCAAAATATAATCAAATTTAATAAAACAAAAATACTAGTGAACAGAAGCCATCCTGACCCATGAAAGAGACTCTATGGTGTTTGAATTTTATTTCTTATTCTACAGCAAACTTCAGTGAACAAAATCTGTAGGCGACAGATAAATCATCATGAAAAAATCATGCCATGCAGCTAGCACAATTTTGTCCAAAATCATTGATTGCAAGCCATAAAATATTAACTATCAAAGTATTTACAATATAGTCCTCCAGGTTAATTGGTAATCTGATTGATCCATAGACATTGATGTATGCCCAAAATGTTCTGCTCTACATGAAAGTTTTAAGATACACTACAGGAGAAATGATCTCTGCTTTAAAGATTTGGAATATTGAGTTCTATTGACATGGAAATAGAAACTGTAAGGCGAAATCCTTGTTTTGTGATATATACATTATTTTGATGATTGGTAATAAGAAATTGAACCAACTTTACAGGACTTCAGCATGGGAAAAGAAACAATCTTTAATTGAATCATATATCAATGGATCAAATGTAGTTTTATTTTAAAATATTTTCTGTATGGCTAAAATATTATCACTCAGAAATTCAGGGCTCGTATCAAAGCTGTTCCTCAGAGCTTCCCTGGCTGACTTCCTCCCTCACCTGTGAGCCTACTGAAGCTGAGTTCTAAGTTCTCAGTTCCTCTTATTTTGTTTTAATAAACTTAGGCAAGGACTCTATGACTTTCAATTTTTAAAAATCCCCCAAAGCAACCAGTATAATAACTGAAATAGGTAGTCCTTCCGCATTTTTAATTAAACGGGTCAACAGAGCAGACTGATTCATAAACTAGGCTTTATAATCATAATTTTAAAACACAAAAATAATTTATACTATCCAGAGCTAAACAATTCATAAAATTCCTTTATAAGCTTACTTCTTAAATATTTCTTTATAAATGAGCAAGAGAAAGAGACCCCTTTCGACAACCCTTTCAACAAGAGATCCTTTCAACAGGGTCACACCATGATAAAATCCTCCTACCCCAATCTTCCAGTTAGCTGAGATTACCAGCAACCACTCCTGTTCTTAGCATGTCTATGTTGGTTCAAGATCTGGTTCTGGCCCTTCCATATGGCCCTGGTATCACACCCACACCACTGGGTCTGTGCTACAGTGACTTGTGTGTGTGTGTGTATATCTGTTTATGTATGTGTATTTATGCAGATAATCTACATGTAGTTAATAAATATATAAATATATAATGTGTATGTATTATATTCTTTACATAAGAATCTACACATGCAGGGGCCGGCAGATGGCATGATGTGTTAAGGTGCTGGATCCCACATGGCCAACTGCAGTTCGAGTCCTGGACTTGGCAGCTTGCTTTCTCACTTTCCCTTTCTCTCTGTTTCTCTCTAGTCAAATTAATAAATAATAATAACAAATAATAATAAATAAATCATTTTTTAAAAGAATGTACATATGCATGCATTTAAAGTAATCTGGTCCTATCTATACTGTCTGAATCCTATATCACATGACCTAAAGCGTAATTTACATAGATAAGAAGCTATATTTAAATTTCCAAAGGTAAAATACAATAAAAACTGGAGTCTTAAATTACTATTGTAAGTGTTTGGGATAAATGGTACTATTCCCTTCCAGTTCTATAAAGTTAGTGGGATATTAACAAATCTTGCTTGTAACAGAAGGTGCCAATTTGGGACAGTAGGTGGCATGGAAGTTAAGGTGGCTGAACCCCACATGGCCAGCTTCATGGTTTAAGTCCCAGACCTGGTGGCTTGAAAATTACACAGGGCCCATGTACATTAATGTCCAAAATCCCGAGAGGAGAGTGAAGAGGAGACTGCAGTGTGGTCATTCCCCCAGTGAGTGATTTCTCACTCCCCCACCCTCCATATCTTTCCAGTGAGAGTCCATGCCTTATAACAAGTGAAAAATAAATAAGTTATCATTTATACTTATTTTCTAACACTGAATGGATATATTTTTTATGAATATATTTTTGTGTAAGTTTCCATGTGTCAGTACCATAAGCCCTGTGGGAGACATTAGGCACAGACCATCACTCATGTCACACAAAGGAAAGAAGGTCCATGGCCTTGGGCCAGTGTCCCTTTACCCTTCCAGCTAGTAGCAGAGAGGGAACTGTATTATATCTTCAACATAGGCCTTCCTCTAGACCTAAATCCTGGGGGCAGTCCCCCAACCTTGCCCATTGCAGTATGTCAGGAAAGGAGCACAGATTTGCAACAAGGAAAATCCAGAGTCCAGCAATGTAACCATTACGACGTCTGCTGGTCCCTCATGTACTCATTCTTCAAAATATCTATTTAGTCTAAAGGTGTCTGTAGCATGTCATCTGTCTTGAAGAAAACACATATTTTTAATAAATTCCCATTTATTGAACTAATCTGGTCTTTGAGTACATTTTAAGTAACCCTGGAAATCAATTTTTCTTCAACTAACATGAGATTATATATTATTTTAAAGTCTTTCTTCTTTCGCTTCTTTCTTCTTTCTTTCTTCTAACATATATCATGCAATGAGTAAAGGGTACAAGTCGCATTTCCTCAAGTTGGTGTTTGGGAAAGAATTACACACTTATTAGTATAAAATATATTTTATATTTTCTCTGTGTGTGTATATATTTGTGTGTGCATTCCTTATATATCATATATAAAGTCAGACACGTTCAGGTAAATGTAGATATTTTCTCTAATATGCATCTATCCTCTCCATCTCTATCATCTGTCCTTAACTCTCTCTCTATCCATCCATATCTATCACTGAAGAAAGAAACATATAGAAAATGTTAATTTGTACCTATTGTGTAGATTGGGTGTAAAACATGCAAAAACAGAAGCTAAAGATGTTAAACTAGCTGAGTGAAAGGAAAATACTGCCCCTTCAGCAACCTAAGAAAATGACTACTACCCTAGCTAACTTAAATGCCTAGAACTTTTTCTACACTAGACATCAGGGCCCCCTAACCACTGATTAGAGGAATATAGTACTGAAGTGTGAAATCAATTCCAAAATGAGATTTTACACTCAAAAGGAAAGTTATGACTGCAGAAAAGATACGCATACACATACACGTACCGTTGCAGGAGGGCAACACGCGGTTCCAAGAGGGTTTTCCATCAGCTCCAATGACACACGTGATGGACGAGGGGTCGACAATCTTGTAGCCTGAGTCGCACTGGTAAGTAACGGTTGAGCCAAGTTTAAAGTCAGTGCCAATTCTTGTCCCATTCATTATGTTTCCAGGGTCAAAACAGGCTTCCCGAGGTTTTTCTATAAGAAAAATGAGTGGAAACTCCATGAGAGTGGGAAAGTTAATCATTTTGGTTATTAGTTAGTGGCTCACTTGTTTTACTAAGGACCTAGAACAGTACTCAGTATACAAGAAATGCCCAAAAACTTTTGATTGACTAATGAGCAAAGTAACCTACTAAGTAAATAAAAATTGAAAAACATCCATTTTAATAAAATAATAGATTAAAATATTTTATTAGAGAATCGATATTAAATTATTTCATCTAGTTTAAAAAATATTACATTTTCAAACATTATTTTTCTTTCTTTCTTTCTTTTTGGCTTTGGATTTCAGTAGTGAACCAGAGAAATTGATCCTGTAAAAAGTTAGATTCATTTTATGACTTTGTTCTTAAACCACATTATCATAAACAACTTCGTAACTTTCAGAAGTGTGAGAATTTGGCTTTTTGAAAAGAAAATGGCTGGGACCAGCAGTTAGCATAATGGCTATGTCGCTGGACTCCCATGTAGCTGACTGCGGTTCGAGTCCCGGACCCGGTGTCTTAAAGAAAAAAAGAAAAAAAGAAAATGGTTTAACTCGTTAAAATTGTCAGTACTTTCTTCTACTGAAAACAGCAAACAGACAGACTTGGAAGATGAACACAGAAGGGTGCTCTGGCTTCTGCCCGCTTTCAATTGTTAGAATTAGTAGGGGTGAATGTCAAATGTCGCTAGAAAAATATATTTATTGATTGATAAGGGTCAAACCTTGGGTCTGGCATGTGGTATTACCCAATAGTTTTATCTTAATTGTAAGAATTGCTGAAATTTATCTAGGGTCTACTACATGCCAGATGCAGAACTGGGTGCATATATGTTTAATTCTGATTTTCACTATAGGTATGTGTGATAAGGACTATGATAACTTGAAGCTCAAGAAGAGTTATTTAACTTTCAAGAAGACACACTTTAGAGATCTATTCCACTCCAGGGCCATTACATAAAGTCATCATTTTGTTTGTTTTGTTTTATTTCCTTAAGTTTTTTTATCATAGGGTTATTTTGCTTACCTGAGAGAGACAGAGAGAGGGGAAGTGAGAAATCACCCCTCAGGAGGATGGCCACACTGCAATCCCTTCTCCATTCTCCTCTCAGGACTCTAGGCATGAACGCACACACTCCCAGTGTGATTTTCAAGCCTCCAGGTCCGGAACTCTAACTGTAGTTGGCCATGTGATAATGCAGTCCCTTAACCACCATGCCACCTCATGGCCCCAATCATCATTATTTAAAAAACATGCTCTGCACATGATCCTCTGTCTCAGCATCCCAGCTGGGGCTGAAGGCACACACCACTGCACAGACCCAGAATCAAACCCAGGTTGTCATGTGGCCTCAGCCCATGGAACACAGCATTTTAGCAGTACACATCATAGCAGCCAGACCCAACCCTAACTTACAAAAGCACTAAACTCCCATGTGTTCCCAGCTATAAATATAAAGTATCTTCCTTTTTTCCCCTCAGTCTTGCTGTTACAGAGTCAAGTTATCTTCTGACAGCCTTAATATTGAATTTCCTATTTCAACAGACCATCTAAAATATATCTAAGTTAAATGTGCATTTTTCAAAGATATAAAAAACATATATTATGAAAACACTTAGCATGGCTCTCAAAATATTTTTGCACCAAAATAGACTTTCAATTCCATTTTCCAAACTTTTGGAATTCCTTATGTGCATTTTTATTTACACATTTTGGTCATTTATATGTGTATGTATGTATATGTGTGTGTGTGTATATATATGTGTGTGTGTGTTTATATGTGTGTGTATATATATGTGTATGTGTGTATATATATATATGTGTTTGTGTATGTGTGTATATGTGTGTGTGTGTGTGTGTGTGCATGTGTGTATATAAACTTCAAAATACTTTGTTTTTGAATCTCTTTGCAAATGTTTTGGGACCAGTGGTCTCTAGTTGTTGAACCACATACCTCTCTGAATATTTCAAAAATAGTTGACATTTTGATAATTCTTTGTACCTGCCTTAAATTTTATACAAAACACTTATTTTAAACAAATAGGAAATAAATAAAACTGTATGCATTATAAAAGTCATTCCATCTTTCTATTGCTTATTCAGGTTTTTGTTTGTTTGTTTGTTTGTTTTCTTTAACTTGTCAAAGGGCACGTGTGCTTGCCAGAGACAGAGAGAGAGGATTAGGGAGAGGTAGAAAACAACCCCAATGGGGCATGGTCATGCCACAACCTCTTCATCTCTTCTCCACTTCTCCATCCTGTTGGGATTAGGAGTATACATACACACACACACACACACACACACACACACAGGTGCCTAGTTACTTTTTCTCAAGCCACCAGGAGTGGGATTTGAACCATGAGATTAGTCATGTGGGATGCGGCTGTTTAAACCACTAGTCCATGGAACAGGCCCTTATTTCACTTATCCAATAAAATATGTACTGAACATCTAGTGCAAATAAGTCCTATTCTTGGTTATATGATTGTTTTCTATTTTTAAAAAGTTTAAAAATGTTCACTATATGTGTGTTCCTATTTTTCTGTTGTTTTTTCATTCTTTTTGGTAAGTTTTTGTTATACATTCCTTTTAGTTTTATTTACTCTTTAGTAACTTTCTACTTTAGGTTCCTAATTTAAATTTCTGATGGCAAGTTTTTCTTCAAATGAACTGCAGCTAATCTTTTGGTTCCATTTACCTAGTTGTCAGTTCAGGATATTTGGTAATAAATCACTGGTCTGTTCTTTTGCTTACAATTGGTCATGTTTTCCAATTAGATGTCTTCATAACATGGTGTGTTTTGCTGTTGTTCTTGTCTGTTTCATTTAAGATGACCTTTGAATACTCGCATTGGAGGCAGGAGAGATTGAATCTGCCAGGTTCCTTAGACCGTTGCACAGAAGGACAGCCCCTGGTGCTCCTTTCATTTCCTGTCGTGCCTAAGAAGTGGTTCCGCTGCCTGCTTCTTTATCTGCACAGGAGTTCATTTTTTGCCAGATGTAATTGCATCATTACTGTTGTCTTTCCTGTGTATTTTTTTTTCTGCACAGATTCTACTGGAGAATTTTAAAAACATTAGGAGCTATAGCCTGCATTCAGGTGGCTTTACAGATTACTAAAGAGATCAAACAGAAAAGAGGTAGTTCTTTCTTCATGTTACGTGTACAACACTCTGTACTTCATTCATTGATGAATTTACCTTAGAATAGCTGGGAGAATCCTAACGATCTGAATAGGCAGAGAGTAAATGCAAATTCTTGCTCTCTGATGAGTCTGTTCATTTGTTTCACTTTGTTTTGTTTTTTGGCTACCAGAGAAAAGATACTGTTATGTCAAAGTAGATTTTCATGAATTGTTATTAATACAGAAACTATCTGATGATATGGCACATGTTTAAAAGTATTGTTTTCAATTTATTTATGAACATAACAGATACTATTCAAAATGCACCTGATACTCCTGTAATTAATGGATTTTTTATGTTTTTTAAATTTATATTTAAAAATTTTTAATATACATTCAACCACATGGTTTAGCTTACAAAGTGAACATTTCAATATGTGAACATTTCTCCCTAGTCCAGTTGATCAAAATATCTTCAACAGATTACACCCCTACCTCCTCATCCCATCAATGCTCTGCCTCAATATCCGGATGTTTTTATTGTACATTTTAATAAAGATCATAATTTTGTAGATGTTGATGTTCTTGGGAAAATAGATTGATATTCTACTTCAAATCATATTTTAAAAATATCAGTTCATCAAAGCAGTAACAGAAGAGAAAATGTCCCAATATCCACCTTTATAATTCTTTGCTACAAATTGAACCCACATGCTTAAAGAAATATAGTTTCAATAGTATTCATAGTGAAATACTCGTTACTGTGAATTGATATTTTTTACGTCTTCATCTCTCATTCTCTGAATATACTTAATACTTTCTTTGTTAACATGAGAAACTTGAAAAAAAAAACATTATTTTTTTGGACGAAGAGTGAAATTCTTGGTTTAGGATGGTTTTTCTTTTGGGGATTATCTGTTTGTTTTCTCTGTGTGTTAAAGGCTGGTGATGATGAATCCCAACCTAGATGTGAAATGCTGATCTGGGAACCAAAGAAGAAAAAACTATACCCAAAGCCAGATCTCTTCCAAAAACTACACATCAGTGTGAAAGAGGGAGAATGGCAGAACACTGAAAGATACTGAGATTGGATGAGCAGATGACATGGAGCCTACGGGACCAGATCTCACATAGCTGACTATGGTTCAAGTCCTGGGCCCAGAATTTAGAAAATCACAGCAGGCATGTGTCCCCCAAATCCTGAGAAGATACTGAGGAGAAGGGATTGCGGTGTGGCCATACCCTCCAGGTGGTAATTTCTCATTTGCCTTCTCTCTCATTCTCCATCTTTGGTGAGCAGATGTGCCCTATAGAAAAACTTAAAAAAAAATACTGAGATAAAACTGTACTTAACTGTAGTCAGCCTGAAGAAATAAAAAGATATTAAGACAGATATTAAAATAATTCTTGTATATCATTACAGTCATGGCACAAATGATTATTTATTTTTAAATGACCATAAATTTAGGGAAACAATTTCCCATATTTCTCCCTTTCAGCTAAGGTAAAATTGTTTCTCTGAAACTTTCTTCTCCATTGGAGAAATTGGACTTTCTTTCCAAGATGGATGAGATATTTACGTATTAAACAGATATGCAAGATTACACAAAGGAAGACTTACAATTCAAACCATCCTGATAAAGTTAATTTCCACACTGACAGCTCATTACAGTACCTTTAAATTCAATGGCGAACCCTGACAAGCCCACAGAGGCATCACTCCGAAAAGCCAGAAAAAGACTATTTCCACTACTCTCTATTCTTTCTGGGGCTTGAGATCCCTGGAAACTTCCAATCAGAGGGCTGTTGGAATCCTCTCCTTCATAGATGTGTAGGAAATCATAGCTTGGCTCCATATTGAAACTGAAAGAAAAGATCATTAATTGTGTTATACACTTAATACATATTTACCTTATTCTCCACAATATTAAACCTTTGAGAGCACAAAGTGGTTTTATTTGATTTTATATAATAATTTAAACAATTAGGGCAAAAAATTTAATAACAATCAAAATGTTACAATAGCAATAAATATAAAAAATACCAATTATCATAAGCAGTATTAGTATTTTGTACCATGACTATATCTAATACAATTCAATTTTGAAGACAGCTAGAAGGAAATGAATCATACCACAGGTTTAATAACTCTTCCTTGTACTCATATGGGAATTTGCTAATGAAATATAATTTGAAAGGCTGAAAAGAAGGAATTCCCACTGATTGTTTGATGTTCACATGAATATTTTCAGTTTTAAAAGTTTGTATCCTTGGTGGGAACCAGCAGTTAGTGTAATGGCTATGTCGCTGGACTCCCACATAGTCCACCACGGTTCGCGACCTAGACCCGGTGGCTTAAAATTCACACTGGGCGCGTGTGTGTGCGTGCCCAAGATCCTGAGAGGAGAATGGAGGAGAAGGGATTGCGGGGTGACCATTCCCCCTGGAGGGTGATTTCTTGCTTTCTGTCTCTATGTCTCTCTCTGTCTGTCTGGCGAGCGCACTCGCCCTATAGTGAACATCTCTCACAAAAAAAAAAAAAAAAAAAAAAGTTTGCATCCTTGGTGTTGCTATTTCTAAAGTTTTAAAAATTCTTTTTGTGTGCGTGCATTTTTTTTTAATGCAACTGCCTCTATGCTTAGACAAAGCAGCCAGTATAAACAGTTCCTCTAAATAGCACAGAGTGTAAATTTTCTCACATGTAGTTTTACCACCATGGAACATTCCAGTTAGCCCTCTCTCCTGCTTTTTCCCCATTTCTCCATTCCTCTCTCTGACGTTCTCTCCTCTCTAACAGTGCACAGTCAGTCTCCAAGGAACCTAACAATTTAAACTCAACTCGAAACTCTCAAGGGATATGCTCCCTTTGTCATGTGTGATGCAAAGGCTGATGTACTCTAGGAGTTAAAAGGAATTGCAATGACCCAGAGAATTTTATGAGAATGACAATTCTATTTGGAATACTTTGCAGGGATGCTATTAGAAGATGCTCTTAGAGTCTTGCTGCATCTCCAAAATTTGGCATAACCAAGTTTTAAACACTGAAAATAATATCAGACACTGGAAAAAATAAAACTATGCATTTCATCTGCTGTCTCCTTTTGGACATACCACAATTCATACATATATAGAAGCCTAGAATGAAATTCATAATTAATTATGGTTTTGTTTGCTAAATTCTATCTTGTTTCTACCTATGCTAACTGTACATGTCTATAAGCCCCCAAAATAGGGTCAAAGGCTGCCCGAATTTTTGAACCACATGTAATCTGAGTTCCACTGTGTGAGCATCAGTTCCATAGTCTATATAAGAGAGCTGTGATTAATCATCCCTCCCCAGAGATCCCAAATATCAGGATGAGCCCTGAAGCTCATATATCTTTTAGGCACTTTAATTTTTTATCTTTATTTTAAATTTTTATTTATTTGTTTCTTCTATTAGAGAGAGAACATGCCTTCAATAAAGTCTTCATTTCCTGATCCATCCCAGCCTTAGCCAGCCTGGATTGTGGGTAAACATATGCCCAGTATACTCAGAGAGGTTTCAGGACTTGAACTGGGGACCTCCCCATGTAGGATTCCCTCGGTAGAGCATGGTGGTTTATCAGTGTACCACCATCTGGTGCCTGCCTATATTGTTAATAATGCCAGACTCCCACCTTTTCCCCAAAAGCACACCTGGATTTAGCCATGCACTTCAACAATACCCTTTGGGTAGTCCTTGTCAGTGTCATCCTCCCTTGTTTGGGTAGTTGAACATCCCTGTCCCTATCTGAAATTGTGGCTTCTCCCCCTTCCTATTGCCACAAACATCTACTTGTTAAGGTTTCAGGATAGCTTCCATCTGGCACAGGCAAGTTATCCTTATCAGAGAATTCACAGATATGTAACATTTTTGAGACATTGGGTCATCTAATGATTCATGTATTCTAAAATTTATAAGAGAGTTAGAAATTCTCTAGTTCAACTTTCTTCCAAAGAAGTGTGTAAAATGCAATGAAAAAAACTACTTGTATAAAACTCCCTTAAATATTATTGAATAGGTTGCACTTGATAATTAGTCACAGTGACACAAAAAAAGTAGGAAACTCCTACTAATAAGGTTCCATGCTCACCAAAGGGATTTTATTTTTAAATGCTGCTGGTTTTAAGGAAGGCACTATAAGGATTTAGTGTTAACAACCACAACAAGGCACAGCTCTTGGAAAATACAGCCAGCAAATATTCATTGGTTTTGTGTATTAGCTGAGTGACATAATAAAGTACTCATTGTCTAGGAGATTGAGAGAATTTTTTTTTAATTCAAGAAAATAATTTATCAACTTACTCAAGATTCAGGATTAAGTTATTTTAAATTATACTGACTCAGATCTCATTAGGAGGAGAAAGTAAGGAAACGTAGGCACATTCAGGCCTTAAATACTGATGTAAAGATCTCTAAAAGAGAACTTTCTTCCTTGACAGATAAACAAACATAATTAGAACACAGCCCTAAATAGCTAAGAGATCAAGACAATCTGTAGGAACTATTTACCTTTACCAATATCATTTAGTTCAAAAATCAAAGTACAAAGTTGGAAAACACCTTAGGGTTCAATAAAATGTAATTATTATATAGCATATAGTAGAATAGTACGACGGAATCCATTTCAATAAAATAGCCAGTATTTGCTCTTTTATCATTTAGTTTAGCATGAAGGAGTTAGCATATGTTTAAGACTAATGGCCACTAATTCAGACTTTACAGCAATCAAATTTGGTGAGTCTTTATTTTCAAAACTCCGTGGCGTCATAAGCATCAGAATGTTAATAACAGTGAACACCGGACAGGACATGCTGTGGAAATGAATTAACGAATTAGCTATCACACATGGAAAAACAGAATGGGTGAGAATCTGTATCAAGCCTATCTACCTCACACATTTTATTACTTTTCTTGAGTAGTCTATAAGTTAAGTCTTCTTATGTAGAACACCTTGTGTGCAAGGTAAACAGTATTTCAAACCAATTTCACGTATGTCTTAACACGAGTAGAAGTCTAGAACAAAGTAATCTATTTCTTTGCATGTCATTTCGAAGCCTGATGCAAAAGAATTAGACACAAAATCTAGGGCTTACCCAGATAGAAAAGTGGAGACCTTGTAAAGTGATCCATGAAGTAAGTTTTAGGTATGACATTTAAAATGCTACTAAAAGGAGGGCTTCTGCAAGAATGGTACCTTTTGAATATCAAGGCGATGACAAAGTCCTGGTTCACTTTGATTCTCCAGTCACAGTCTTTCCCAGGAGGATACGGCTGTGGGTAGTTGGGGGATAAAATGACACCAGCAGGGCCAGTCAAATTCCCTCCACATGCAGCTGCCACAGAATGAAAGTTACAGAGATAAAAAGTCAGGAGAGAGGATACTATTAATGTGAAAAGAGAGGTCATAGTACTCTTTAAAAATATAGAGTTCATTCATCAGCAGTTATTCTCCATCAAAAAAAAGTCACATGTTGGGTGATCAACATGTGTGTTCAATTATCCAGATACAATTCTAAGAAGCAGGAAGTCTCTATTTTTTTCACATAAATGTTAATAAATGTCCTATCATGGGCTACTCCATTTTAGGAAGGGTTTTCAAACTTGGGACATTTTTTTCCTTGTAATTTAAAATGTTAGTCAATTACATTGAATAGACTACTTAATTCCCCTCCCTATATACACATATACACACATACACCCACATGTGCACGTAGACACAACATGGAAAACAATCACAATAAACATCACTGGGTGTTGTTAGTTCCTTTGCCATTTGTTAAGGTTTACAAAGTCATTGCTTATTTATGCTAGAACTCATGCTTCACGTGGTACAGTGATCATCCATCTGCCTTTTGTTCACCATCGTAGCCCTAATGACAAACACAGTTATTTGATTTTAGTATATTTTTTGAAAGTAAGTGTCTATTGAGTGAATAGGTGTCATGACATGATTCTCCCACTCTGGTATGCACATTTCAAAATGGTAAAACGAAATCTAAACATCCAAATGATATCTAAGGATAGATAATCTGTGAGAAGCAAGCTAAATAGTATCCTATTGAAGTATTATTTGACCAGCACACTTATTGTTTTATTATTAGAAAAATGTACTTTAACTATGCTTCAGATAAGGGACTAATAAAATCCAGAATAATAGAATACTCAAGCAGCTTACCTACATAAAACAAACAATCCAATTTAAAAAATGGATAAATGAGCTGAACAAACAACTCTCCAAGGAAGATATATAAATGGCAAAAAAAAACATATAAAAATGCTCAACATCTCTTATCATAAGGGAAGTGCAAATCAAAATCACAATGAGATACCACCTATCCTCAGTTAAAATGGCTGTGATTTAAAAAATAAAAAGAATGACAAGTGTCAGCAAGGCAGTGGTGAAAAGGGAACTCTCCTACACTGTTGGAAGGAATGTAAATTAGTACAGCCATTGTGAAAACAATATGGAGATTCCTCAAAAGCCTACAAATATAACTACCATATGATCCGAAAATACCACTCCTGGGTATTTTCTTGAGAGATTGAAAAACAGTCAGACACTTGTACATTGATGTTTTGCAACATTATTCACAAATTGCTAAGAAATGGAATCAACCTAAATGTCTGAGAACAGATGACTGATTTGAAAAAATGTGGCACAAATGGAATACTACTTAGCCATGAAAGGAAAAGAGACCTTACCATTTAATACAAAGTGGATGAACATAGATAATGTAATGCTAAGTGAAGCAAGCCAGACTATGAACGACAGACATTGTATGTCCCTGTTCAATATATACCAAATGTCTGCATTTTATAGCAGAAACTGAAGGAATGGAAGACATAGAGCAGAGATGGCAATTGTAGATATCAGAAACTATACAGAAGGGGGAGGATAAAGAGGTAGGGAAGGAAGAGAGTCAAGATAAAAAAATACATGTAACAGACACAAGAATGGAAAGATATTTGTTGAGAATGATGTACATGGTACTAACTTTAATTGATTGACATGCAATGCATGCATGATTAAAAAACATATTGTACACTGTAAAGATATACAATGGTTAAATGGAAATTTAAAAAGAGAGATAAAAGAAGCACTTTATGTGATATAATAAATTTATTGTTATAGTCATAAATTTTAAGTTTAATATATTTTCATTTACAGTACTGAGGCAGAAATTATATGTCTCAGTGTTGTTAATGGGCAAATCAATTTTTGTTATTAAATCTGAACACTTAGGGTTGTCCATTTATTAGACAAGATTTCTCCTAACTCCTCCACCACATGAAAGGGTTTAAATAAACACTGCAGGATTCAGAAGTATACACATTTTAGATACATGAATGAAGTTGCTTGGATAAGAGGTTCTTTATATAAAATACTTACATACAATATTTGTTACCATGTTGTTTTCAAATATCATACCAATTAAATCATAGTATTCACCCTAAAGTATAAATGTGATTTCACATCACTGTCATAAATGTATTTAAAAAAATGATATAAGGAAATGTTCAAAGTGGTGGTCTTTTTCCAAATAGAATTAACAAACTATTTTTTTTGGGGGGTGAACAAGATGAAAGAAGATGAATGTACAATTTTCATGTAGAAGATGGATGTGTGTTTAAATACTTATTTAACATTCTTGAAAACTTAATTTTCCATCAGAATAAATACAACTAATTTAATTCCACTACTTTTTCTTACAGTCTCACAGTCTAATCAAAGGCAAACTCTAAGTAATACCACAAGAGATATTTATAATATATTCTTACAGATATACACTCAAGAGTAATATGATATAATTTTTACAAAAAAGATAAAAACCCTGTTTTCCCTGGTATGCAACTTCATTTTAATAAATTATGTGGAAACAATTGTCTAATCAGCTCTCACAGGACAATGCCTCCCCTGGAATCAAGCAGTGGATGCTGACAGGATTGAGTAGAAGAAGCATGTACCAATTAGGGAGATAGCACTAATGTAGACAAAGAAGCTACCTAAAGGTCTGGAAGATTCTACTCCACGCAGGTTTTGAAAGATGAAAAATGACAGAATCAGGGCACTGGCTACAGGGTGCTACCAGCAGGGAGAGTTCAGAATATGATTCAAATATTGATTTAAAAAGAAACAAAGGGGAAATCTTGTCTTATTCATGCAGATCCCAGAAGGCACTTTCAAATGAGGTTATTTAAAAGCTTAAAGTGGAATAAAGTAGTATTGTCTTGCCTTGTTTGTTCTCTTTCAGTCTGGTATTTTTCATTTTAGCTTCATTAGGTTTTAATTAAAGAGCTTGCAAAATATTTTGGTTAGGATTAGAATTTAGTGGGAAAGAGAACTCAGACACTCTAGGAAATTTTCCAAAATGAATGGACATAGAGATAAAAATCCACATCTTTATCTAAAACCATAATCCCTTATCTAAAACCCTTAGGAACTTCCCCATGGATATGTATATAGTAGTTCCTTCTTCCATTAGGGCTAGAAGCACCACTCCTGGATAAAAAAACATCAATATTTCTTCATCAAAGCATTTGAACATTCATCTTCTTATCATGCAGTGTGATAGTCTTTAAATAGGAGGGTTCTTCAAAAAGTTTATGGAAAATTGAATTAAAATAGAAATTATATTTGTAAACATAAATTCCACCAAATTCAAGATACTTTTGTAAAGAATGATATCAGCCACTTAGTTCATCCTGAAAGAACTGAGAGTCGTGGGAATTAAACCTTGTCAATGCAGTCTTTATTATATTATAAACTGAAATACAGTGACTTCCCTTTGAAGAGATTTTTTGTTAGTCTGCATTTTAAGATTAGGAAACAAACATAAAACAGAAGGAGCCAAATAAGGACTTGAAGGTAGATGCTCAAAGAATTCTCATCAAAATTCTTTCAAAATTGACCTGGTTTGATGAGAAGAGAGAACAAGAGCACTGTCATAGGAGAAAAGGACTCTGGTGAATGTTTCCTGGGTACTTTTCTGTTAAAGCTTTGACTAACTTTCTCAAAGCATACTGACAATAAGCAGATATTATCATTATTTGTTCCTTAAGAAAGTCAACAGGAAAAATTGTCTTGGAAGTCAACAGGAAAAAATGCTTTGAATATCCCAAACACTGGCCATGAAATTTGCTTTTGACTGGTCCACTTGGCTTTGACTAGACCACTTCTGCTTCTTCGTAGCCCTTTCTTTGCATCTTGCCTTCAGGATCTTACTGGCAAAACCAAGTTTCATCTCCCCTTCCGAGCATTGTTTCAGGATCTTGGTCCCATTTGTTTATAATCTCTGTTGAAAGCCCTGCTCTTGTCAGCAATTAATCTGGGTATAACAGTTTTGGTAACTGTTGAACAGAAATTTTGCTCTATGGAAATTTTTTAGTCAAAACTGTATAAGCTAAATCAATTGAAATGTTTATAGTATTGGCTATTATTTTTGCAGTTAATTGCCAGTTCTCTTCAATTAGGGCATGAACAGAGTAATTTTTTTCCTTCCAAAGACTATGTGCATGATCTGACATTGTAGGGTCATTTTCAACATCATCTTCTCCCTTCTTAAAACAGGTTTCCTACTTGTAAACTACTGATTTTATAGGGAGGCATTGGCTCCATAAACTTTTCATAAAGCA